GGGGTGGGCGGGCCCCCGTGGCGCGCGTCCCCCCCCGGCCGGCCGGCCGCTGGGGAGCCCCGGGTGGGCGGCCCGGACACCCGCCCGCCCCCGCACAGCCCAGCCCTCCACCGCCAGGGCAGTTCTCCCCGACTCAGCCCCCGGCGTGCGCCGCCCCTTCCCGAGGGTCCCTGGGGTGCAGCGGGGCCGCGTCCCCGGCACACTCCGAATTCCCGAGCGCCGCTCCATCCCTGCGGCCGGCAGCATCGCGGCCTCGGGATACTCACCGCTCCCACCGCGGCCTCACTCGGCTCCCGGCCCGGATCCCCGAACTCGCTGCCCTCCTCGGAGCCCCCCGAGCGGCTGAGCGTAGAGATTTGTTGGAACGTCGCTGAGCATCCTGGAGGTGCGGCGCCTGCGGTTCGGCTCCCAGCCCGGCCCGGTGCGCTCGGTGCGGGGCCCCCGGGCTCTGCTGCAGCTCGCGCTCAGGCCAGGTGAGCGTTTCGTGGAGTTCAAAGCCCAACGCCCCAGCCCGGGGGCCTTTAAAAAGGGTGCCTTTGGAGGCGCCGGAACCTAACCTTAGCTTCCTTCCAATCGGTGCAGTTTCAAATCTCTCTCGTTCATTCCTATACCGGCTAATTCTGGTTTGGCAGGAAAAAAAATGTAGTCACCTCACATGCACACTCTGGTGGCCGGTTAGAGTTTATTGCTTGAGCTGCTGTGCGCATTTGTAACTGGGGGAGAGGGCTGGAAACCCGGCCCGGGATGCAGATGAGAACAGAGGCACCTTCTGTTTTTCTGACATAGGAGAGACGCGACGAAGCAGACCCTCCCCCTGGGTCTGAGCCACAAGATCTAACAGTTTGCAGAGCGAAAGAGGCAGAGCAGGAGCTGCGAAATTCCTGGTTACAGAAGACTAAAATCCCTCACTCTCTGTCCACTCTGGGCCCCTCTTCTCCCTGCCCCCTCCCTTTTTTGGAGAGGTTTTTGCTATAGGGCGCGTGCGCTCGCCAGACAGACAGAGACAGAGACAGAAAGTGAGAAATCACCCCCCAGGGGGGATGGCCACGCCGCAATCCCTTCTCCTCCATTCTCCTCTCGGGATCTTGGGCACGCACGCACACGCGCCCAGAGTGAGTGTATGCCACAGGGCCCTGGACTCGAACCGCGGTTGACTGCGAGTCCAGCGACATAGCCCTTACTCTAACTGCTGTCCCCCCCCCCTTTTTTTTTAAAGTAAGATTTTTTTGCCATAGGGCGAAGTCCTGGCCAGAGACAGAGAGGGAAAATGAGAAATCAGCGCCCCAGGAAGGATGGACACAATGCAATCTCTTCTTTATTCTCTTCCCACACAGCCGTGCTCAGCATGATTTTTCAAGCCCTTGTGGTCCAAGACTTGAACCACGGTTGCCATCTGGGAGTCCAGCACCTTAGCCACCATGCCACGTGCCGGCCCCCGGAGTTTTTTTCTTTTAATGTTGTAATAGATGACCACAAACGCGGTGGCAGAAAATGGCAGTGGCTCAGTATGCTACAGTCCCGGAGGCTGCCAGCATTCCCTAGCTGGTGGCCACTCCCCCTGTCTTCAAAGCCAGCGTGCAGATTTATCCTGCAGGCTCATACCCTCTGTCTCCTCCAATCCACCCCACCCACCTCCTCCTCTTTTAAGGACCCTTGGGATTATGTCAGGCCCACCTAATACTCCAGATAATCTCCCTATTTTAAGGTCATCTGATTAGCAAATTTAGTTCCATCTACAACTTTCATTCATTCCCCCTTTCTCACATAGGGTGATAGATTGACAAATTCCAGGGACTGGGATATGGAAATCTTTAGAGGATTATTATTCTGCCAACCACAGACTTTCTTCTTTCTTTCTTTTTCTTCTCCCCCCCCTGCCGGGGTCCAGCCTCGGCGTGGGTGGGCTATCTCCAGGGAGGCAGCGAAGGTGAACAGAAGACAGAGGCCTCGATGCCTTTTCATGCAGGTCCTATGCCGGACACCCCTCAAAGATTGCTCTCTGAGGAGTGACAACTATTAGGAATCATCAGTGTGTTTTTATTGAAAATGTGAGACAGAGGCCTCGATGCCTTTTCATGCACGTCCTATGCCGGACACCCCTCAAAGATCGCTCTCTGAGGATGACAACTGCTAGGAATCATCATGCGTTTTTATTGAAAATGTGATACATGCAAGTAAAGGGAGAGGGGCTAGTGTTACTATTAAGAGCTCATAAAGTTTTTAACAATAGAGAACATAGATTCTATTCAGGGTTGGATTAAGGGTGGGTCTAGTGCAATTCAGGGTTGGATTAAGGGTGGGTCTAGTGCAGTTCTGCAATTGTAGGTGGGTCTCCATGGAATGCAGTTTCAGGAAAGCGGTTCTGGTAAGCAGAGATGATTATCAGCTGATGCGGCGCAGCAGCCATCTTGTGATTACTGGGAATGGTGCTGAGAAAAGAAAATCTCAAGAATAGATATTAGGGGAACCAGCAGTTAGCGTAATGGCTATGTCGCTGGACTCCCACGTAGTCGACCGCGGTTCGCGTCC